ACCCTTCTGCAAGTTTTTTGCATAGTTGACCTGGATTATTCTTAACAGACTCTTTCAGCATGGATTCATTGTTGGTGGATGAAAACCCAATTCGAGGCTGTCATATCCCGATGCAAATCGATTGAACCACTTTCAATTCACACTGTGCACTCACTCACCGATGCCTCTGCAAACATGGAACATATTTTTCAAGAAGTTTCTCTAGTGTTGCTGCCCAGTTTGAACTCATAAAGTAAACATGGCCATAAAACATTCTTCGACACTGACATGTTCATTTCAGGATTGTAATTCCTCCCAAACTGCTTTTGACAAGCTTTACAACTCTGTACTGACTGATGGCTAATGGGAATACAGCATCTTAACCTATCAACAACAATACTGATACCTGCCATTTGAATTTCACTTTTCATGCCAGCAGCACAAATGTTTTTGGATACCTGGTAGAAGAGTCTTCCTTCTTTCCGGTAGGAAGAATTTTCTTCTGCAGCAAAGTTTGGTTTAAAATAAAACTAGATTCTTTCTACCCCTGTAATTTGTAAGATAGTAATACTGTAGTAATACTAGGGAAAATTACAATGTTCTTACAGAAAGAACCTTTTTCTTTAAATAAATGAAACAGTACTTTTTTCTCTGTCATTGAAAGAATGACTTTCACATAATAATTTCTTTTTTTAATTATCTGAAATCAGGTATGATTGTTTTTGTTTATCAAATTCCATGTCTTTGCAAAGATTTTATCACATATTTTACTTGTACAAATATTTGCTACAGGCCTCATGCCAAAGCAAAATCCTTTTCATTATTAAACCAGTGAAAATGCATGTAGTGCTAATTTAGGTTTTAATCATATGATAGCAGCTTTGGTTTCCCTTGCCATTTGACATTGCTAGTTTGAAGGGCTCATGTTCTGTATCTTGATTTTTCTAGAGAACGATTTTTGTAAGCTTATTGAACTATCAACAGTTCAGTAAATAAAGCCACTAGCAATAATAATTCAACTTGGGTTAAATAGTTTGCTTAAGAAACTCCTTCACAAAAGCATTCCTTTCTTTAAAGTATGCCGAATGACAATTATTAGAAATTCAGTAATCAACATTAATTGTTAGAATTTGCAATATAGTCAAAAGTCGTTAATTCGGACACCCATAATCCGGACCTCAAAGCTACAAATTTTCTACGCATGCGCACATGCGTTTACGAGTGCGCGTAAGACCTTTACGGCTGCGAATATGTTTGTGCGCATGCGCGTTTAATGTGTAACGGACGGTATAAGCTAAGCTAAAATTATCTAATTCAGTTAATGTTGCAGATTGCGTTGTTCCTTAATCTTCGAATTGGATCCGGCTTATTATTTTTTGCAGACTGTTAGAGCAATTTCATAAAAGTAAGCTTGAACTTTCGATTATGTCAAATAGAATTTTCGATATATATTTACTAATATGTTATTTGTATCTACAAAGCGAAAGTAAGATTTGAAATCCGAAATCTGTTTATCAATTTCACGCTGTGGATTGGAAGTTGATCTGTCAGCACTATCCTTATCTTCAGGGCAGATGTTTTTATTTTATTTGGCTTATAATTCCTTACTAAGTGTAGTATTTCATCTCGATGTACTCAGTCTTTGATATGATTTAAATCAAGTTCCTCGTCATTATAATTCGCTTCCGATAGTGAAGAAAGTGACCCAGAGGTTATTGAAAACGAAAACATTTCGTCGGTATTCTCAACACAGCAATTATAGGACTTGAACAGCAGAACTTTGTAACTAAACAAGAAATTATGTCTGTTTAATAGAATTAAAGAGAAAGTATTATCACATGAAACGAAGCAACTTACATTGAAAGAAATGTTTAATAAAGTAAACAAAAAAATATTAAGCTTTTTCTTTTTTGTAAATTTTGATACCCTTTAGATCATAATTGTTCTTTATTTCATAAATTACGGTTTCATATTTTTAATTTTGTAATTTCTGCATGCCATCTTACCAGATTTAAACCGATGATCTATAATCCGGAATCGCCGAAGTCCCGACGAGTCCGGATTAACGACTTTTGACTGTACTAGTTTATAAGGTACTACAGAACTTTCTTCAGTTGCAAGAGAGAAAATGATGAAGCTCATGCAATACCATTGAAAACAAGAGGCTACAAAGTTCCAACTAAAAATGAAAACATACCTGCTGGCACCAACTATTGATAAAAAATGAAGCCAATTATATGAAATAATTTCATTGAAGACTGAGGTTAAATCTAAATCATGAACTAGAACTGAAAGATTTTTAAGAATGTGAAATGCCTATCGAAAGTCTAGCTCACAACTGGAAGATATTTTCGAAATAATTTTGGTTGCAGAAAAAAGGAAAAATATGACCCTTGATCCAACAAAGAGCAACAGAAGATATCTACATTTCTTTTTTCCTAACATATGTTCCATGTTCCTTAGTACAAAATTTTAAGGCTCTCTTAGTCTGACCAATGTTTATTAGACTACACTGGCAAAGAATACTGTATATACCCTAGGAGTTCATTTCCAGAATGGGATCTTAAAAGTATGGGGCTGCAAATTTTACTGATAGGAGAAAACATGACATGAAAGTTAAACTTCTGTAAAATGTGTGCAGTTTTATAGCAAATTCTAAAAATTAACACTGATTACTGTTGTTTAAGCTTCTAAAAATCCCTCTCTTTATGCAGATAACTGCCATATGCTTTTTATAATAAATCAAACTCTAGTATAAGCCTATTGTAGTGTTTAATTTAAAACTGTTTCTGGTGTTTTTCTGAATACAAAGATCAGACTGCAATTTTTTCCTTAAACTTTCCTAATGTGCCTTTTACCTTACAAGAGATCCTAGCTTTAGACAGGAAAATCTTCAGTTAATAATCTCCCTTCTCCTTCAAAATGAGAGTATAATAGTCTACTTTTAGCAAAAAATTGCCACATGCTTTCACCACATTTCCTATAAAGGAATGTAGTCCATTAGTATTTATTTTTTCATGCGGAAGTTTTCTAATAATGTTAAAAGTAGCCATGCTCAAAGTGATGCTAACTACATGCATGCACATACCTGAACCATATAAAATACATTTTGGCAACATAATGTGTTGCCTTGTCATTTCTTTCCAAGGGTTGGTATGCTAATATGAAAGCACCATTAATTTTCCATTATTGGAGTTGTCTTTCTAAAGCAAAATAATACTTAACTGAAATTTTGTTTCCCTTAACCAAATATTCTTAGTTGATTTTAAAGTGTTTTTTTTAACTTATTTATTCACTAATAAAGGTTAGTTATTAAATGTGGTCATGGGTAAATAGAGAAAATTACATTTTAAACAAACAGATTTAAACTATGATAAAAGGAAAGATTTGACTATGAGACTAACTATGAGAAAGGAAAGACCTGCATTTGGGTGCATATTACAGCATATAGATGGACAGGCCCAGAGCAATAAATTAAATTTATCCAAATGATGAAAACATACACTTCCATGAAAAACATTTTTAAGAATTGGATTTTCATTTTTTAAATTTAACATTTAAACAATTTTGTACATATTTTGCCTTAATAAATTATTTTGTTGTTTGCACCATCAGATAAAGCAGAGAAAAAAATATTTTGAAGTTCATAAAGTAAATAATCACAAGGCAACACATTATGTTGCCAAAATGTATTTTATATGGTTCAGGTATGTGCATGCATGTAGTTAGCATCACTTTGAGTATGGCTACTTTTAACATTATTAGAAAACTTCCGCATGAAAAAATAAATACTAATGGACTACATTCCTTTATAGGAAATGTGGTGAAAGCATGCGGCAATAGAAAAACAATTGAGAAATTTTTAACTTTATTTACTGATTTCTGTCAATTTTTCAAAAAAGCCACTAGCAATAATAATTCAACTTGTGCTCATTTTTGTAATCCTTTCATCTGTATTATTTTTAAATTCTAACATAAAAAATGTATAGATTATAAAATTTTGAAATGTTCATACAATGTAAAAGAAACTGTTTGTCCTCTTTTTAAACAAGGATATTAAAAAATATTAATTATGTAATTTTTAAAAAATTTTATGCTGCAGTAGAAAGAGAAGTTATTCATTCTTCCCTACTTTAGTTACGATCTTTTTTGAAAATGAAGCTTTGAGACATGACATACTTATACACCAACCTATTTTCTTCATACAGATAATACTGATTTTACTACAAGCAGTATACCCATTCTTTGCACTAGAAATAAACAGGAAACTATATCCTTCCAAAACATAAAAGTATTAGAAAAGTGCCAAAAGAAAAAAAAAATCTATACAGAAAATTATTTTTTTTAACATATTGATAAATACACTGAATAGTAAATACCCTTTTTTTTAGTTATCACAATATATACTTTGTCAGTAAAATAAAATCTTAGAGTTTATAACAATGACAAATTTCAAAATAAAATTTTCTCAAAAATTTTAAAGAATTACTCATAATAATTTTTATGTATATCATTTCTGTTCAGTCAATCCTATTGCTTACTAAAACCCTTTTAGTATCACACTGAATTTCTTATTTTTCCATCCAATGATTTTATACTTTTCCACATATAAATAAGAATATTAAATAAAGCTGGGGGATAAAATGTGTATGCCAAATGATATGCAGAGAACTAATCATTTGGTATAAAACAATGTATTTCCCTGTGACATTCTACTACTAGACGTAGTAGTAACATATTACATGAGGAATGCTTATAAAGTATATAAAATCATTAATATTGCAGTACTTGACAAATTTAAAACCATATTATCAGTACTGGATGCCAAATTAGTTGCACCTAATTTTTTATTTAGTTATGTCATCTAGATTTAATATTTTAAGGCTTATTTTTTTCAGGTCATTAATATGAATAATGAAGTTTAGAAAAACAATTGAGACTGAAATTTCCAAAGATGTTGATCAATATGCTTGATAATAATAAACACTTATAAAATTATGTTGTGTTAAAAATTAATTTAATTCCATATATATAATTTTTTAATAATTCTCTTAAATATACATGTTAATATTATAAATATCAAATTATTCACAGGAAGCTTAATAAATGTCACCGCTTTGAACACAAAAGCCTAATATAATACAATCATCCACATGAATATCAAACATACCATGGCTAACATAATCCAAACACACCAGTTGCATGATTTCTTAGCATAAACTTCTAATTTTTCACTTTCCACTTTTAATCGAGAATATCTGTCATCTGCCATTGAGGATGACTTTTGCAAAACCTTAAATAAATAAATTAATAAGTATAATTTAATAAAACATAATTATTAAATTATTATAATAAAAAATTGTAGAAAAAGAATGAAAATCCAAAAGCTTTCAGATCTTATATTATGCCCAAAAAGGCGTTTTTCTAACATCTTGTGTGTTAACTTTATTTATTAAATATCATGTTCTTCATACTTAAATCACATAAAATTCAATTCAACAGCAATATCACAAAGCATTTAAAAACAGCATATCTTTAGAATTTCCTACACACAATCCTTTAAAATATTAAGATCTTTTTCGACACAATCAATCCATCTTAGCAGGGGTCTGCCCCGAAGTCTATTTCCCATGGGCTTTGCCAGAAAGATTTTTTTTACAGCAACGATCTTCATTCATTCTAACCAGATGGCCAGCCAATTTAAGTCTCTGTAATTTGACGAATTTTACAATATCCGGTTGTAAATTTTATAGAATTCTAAATTAGACCTTCTTCTCCATGATCCATTCACTTGGACCCCACCAAGAATGCAATGCAAGATCTTTCATTCAAAAATTTCCAGAGCTTTTTCATCACGTAAAGTCAATGCCCAAGTCTCTGATGCATAAGTCAAGACTCATCTTATAAGACTTTTGTAAAAAAGCAATTTAGTTCTTAACATAACAAAGCTGGATTTTAGATAACTCTTCAGGACATAAAAACATCTATTTGCAGCAATGATTCTCTGATATATTTCTGTGGCAAACACATTTTTATTATTTATCTCTGTTCCCAAATAAGTAAAACTGTTAACTTTTTCAAATTTATAATTGCTAATTTCTAAGTGACTAAGTTGTAAGTCTGACTTTAAGCAAGGTAAATATTTAATTTTCATTTACAAATAAATTAATTCTTTTAGCACTTTGTTCCAATGCCTGTTTGAGAGACGGTGCGGTTAGGGCAATAATGCCTATCATCATAAGCCAATATTTCAACTGAGTAAAAATATTTCCTCTAATTATTGATCTTTGAGTCTCTAATAACTTTTTTTAGTGCTATGTTAAACAGGAGGCATGCCAATGCCTTTATGGCTTTTTTTAGAGTCAAGGTTACAAGCGCAACAAATTTTTCTGGAATTTTCAATGCATGCATAGCTTTTATGAGGAGTTAGTTCTCTGTTAATACAATCATATGCTGTTATAAAATCGATAAAAAGATTGTGAGTCTCAATTCCAAATTCTCTACATTTTTCAAGAATCTGTTTTAAGTTGGAAATTTGCTCAGTTGTAGATCTTCCTTTCCTAAATCCATATTGATAGTCGCCTATCAAGTTATCAACAAATGGCAAAAGTCTGTCAAAAAGAATAATAGACAGAATTTTATAGGATGTGCAAAGAAGACTGATTCCTCTATAATTGCTACAGTCTATGATGTCACGTTTTTTGTGTATCATGCTAATGGTACTAAGTTTCCATTCCGTTGGAGTGTCTCTTTTTTCCAAATACAGTCAAAAGTCGTTAATCCGGACTCATCGGGATTTTGGCGATTCCGGATTATCGATTTTTCCGGGTTATAGATCATCAGTTTAAATCTGGTAAGATGGCATGCAGAAATTACAAAATTAAAAATATGAAACCGTAATTTATGAAATAAAGAACAATTATGATCTAAAGGGTATCAAAATTTGCAAAAAGAAAAATCTTAATATTTATTTGTTTACTTTATTAAACATTTCTTTCAATGGAAGTTGCTTCGTTTCATGTGATAATACATTCTCTTTAATTCTATTAAACAGACATAATTTCTTCTTTAGTTACAAAGTTCCGCTGTTCAAGCCATATAATTGCTGTGTTGAGAATACCGACGAAATGTTTTCGTTTTCAATAACCTCTGGGTCACTTTCTTCACTATCGGAAGCGAATTATAATAATGAGGAACTTGATTTAAATCATATCAAAGACTGAGTACATCGAGATGAAATACTACACTTAGTAAGGAATTATAAGCCAAATAAAATAAAAATATCTGCCCTGAAGATAAGGATAGTGCTGACAGATCAACTTCCAAACCGCGGCGTGAAATTGATAAACAGATTTCGGATTTCAAAACACACTTTCACTTTGTAGATACAAATTACATATTAGTAAATATATATCGGAAATTCTATTTGACATAATCGAAAGTTTCAAGCTTACTACTTTATGAAATTGCTCTAACAGTCTGCAAAAAATAATAAGCCGGATCCAATTCGAAGATTAAGGAACAACGCAATCTGCAACATTAACTGAATTAGATAATTTTAGCTTAGCTTATACCGTCCGTTACACATTAAACGTGCATGCGCACAAACATATTCGCAGTCGTAAAGGTCTTACGCGCACTCGTAAACGCCTGTGCGCATGGGTGAACGCGACGCATACGCAGAAAATTTGTAGCTTTGAGGTCCGGATTATAGATCATTCCGGATTCTGGGTGTCCGAATTAACAACTTTTGACTGTATGTTGAATTAATTCCTTTATAAGCTGTACACAGTCATGTCCCATAACTTTATAAAAGTTCTGACGATATATTGTTAGGTCCAGGAGATTTATTTTATTTTATTTTATTTATTTATTTCATTATTCACTTCTATCAATGAGGTGGGATCAACAGGCTCTAAATTTCTGATTGTTGATCTACTAACTTCAGAAGGCACGTCGGAATTCAGCAGCCCGTTCAGGTGCTCACTCGATCTTTGAAGAATGTCACCTTTTGTACTGAAAATATTGCCATCTTTCCCTCTGCACAATGTAGTTCTTGGCTTGAAACTTCTTTGTCCACGATTAATCTCATGAAAGAAAGCTCTGCTTTCTCCTACTCGCCTAAGATGTTCAACATCCTTTAAGAGATTTTTATGAAAGTTTGTCTTCTTAATATGGTGGATATTTTCCTTTTTTCTGGCACATTTATATTTGCCAACGGCTATTCTAGTATGTTTTCTTTGTATCATATTCTTATATGCCCTATTTTTAAGTTCGGTGGCAGCTCTTCACTCCAGATTAAACCAATCATCATATTTTTTCTTTTTAACTTTTCCTATGACAGAGTAGCCAGTTTTAGTGAATTCCATTTTTCATCAATACATTCCAATTTATCCAATTTAATGTTTTTCAATTTTGTTTCAAATTCATTCTGGTATCTTTGCTTAATATCTGTATTTTTCAACAACTGACAGTTATATTTTTCTAGTTTCACCCCTTGGTTTTTATGGGCATTAGAAATTCTTGCTCTAATTTTCACCATTACTAAGTAGTGGTCCGAATCAAAATTTGCTCCATGATATGATCTGACATGCAGTATGTCTAATGCATTCTAAGATCGATTAAGATGTGATCAATCTGATTAAAGGTGTCACAATCTGGAGATCTCCATGTCAATTTGTGTATACGTTTGTGTGTAAAGCAGGTATTGGCCTCCACCATATCATGTTCTACAGCAAAAAATATCAGCTTCTGTCCATTATTATTTGAGTCGCAAGGTAGGTTGTGCTTAGCAGTGATGGGTTTGAACTTGTCTTCTTTCCCAATCTTGGCATTTGCATCACCCAACACAATTTTATGTCATGTTTGGGACTGGCAGAATATAATGCATGGATTTTTTCATAAAAAATATATTTTCCTTCATCTTTGTCCTCTGTTGGAGCATGTATATTTATCATGCTATAGTTGAAGAATTTGCCTCTCAATTTGATCTTGCACAGTCTAGGCGATTTGGCCTCAAAATCAATAATAAGATGCCTAATCCTCTTATGAATAATAAAGCCTGTATTAAACATGTTTCTTAAGATCACAACAGTAAAATACTGTGTGATTTCAGCCATCTTGAATTCCCTGTCCAATCCATCGCATTTCCTGAAGGGCCATCAAATCAATCCTATAATTATCCATGATCTCCATTAAAAGAGATAGTCCCTTGTTTCTGCAAAGCGAGCATAAATTCCATGTACTGAATCTCAAATCCTTAAAATCCTTTCCAAGTTGCCTCCATATTAACAGTCCAGAAAATTCTTCCTTTGATTTGATAACAAGAGTTTTTTTTTACCACAGCCAACTCTATAATGGCCCTGAAATAAATAAAAAGTCACATATCCAGATGGGTGATATGTTTTTGTGGTAGTGTGTGGTTGTGAACCCATGGTCATGGATTTTTTGGATGCATATTTTGCTATTCTAAGTGATTTTAAATCACTTACGCTGAGGTAAATAATATTTTTATCTTATTTCGTTTCATACTTTTTTAATTTTTAGATTTATTTCGGAAAATCTGTAGCTGTTCTCAATCCTATTCAAGTATTTTGTTTTAACATAACATTGAATACATTTACTCTAGTTTGAACATTTTGCATAGTGTTGTTTTGAATATTTGTTTGGTATAGTACATTAGGAATTCTTTATTTTGATTATTTCTTTCTAATGGCATATATGACAGTCTGTCCCAATAAAAGAAACTTTATCACCACAAACATTTCAGGCATTAATAACAACTAAAGATGCATTCATTCAATTGCTTCCATGTTTGTTTCAAAAGTATGAAGCTGAATACATATTGTTAGGAAAATTGCTCCTGAATCACGTTTTGGAATGTATTGGTAAATGTCAGGTTCAAATTATTAAATAAATGACCTACAATTATTATAAAGTGAGAAGAAACTTCGTTTTAAAAACAATATTATAATTTCATCATCAAATATGAATGGTTCTTTTAACGGCCCTTTTACAGATTATGATAAGGATTTTCTACCTTTATTTATGATAAGGATTCTATATTTATCTTTTCGAATATTAATGATTATTCAAGTTTACTAATTAATGAGTTTTTTATAGAAAATGTTTCTTCTGATATTTTAGCAGTGCTAGTTTATGTTTCAGGTTATGATGCAATGAAAAAATTAAGGGTGATAAAATGCAATATTTGCCAGGACTGGTTGCAAAGTATTCATTCAGTAGATACAGCAGATGATGTTTTTTGTTTTCTTAAAGAATTAGATACGGGGC